CCCCACGTCTGAGAGGAGATGGCTGAGGAAAGGACAATATGTGACTCTTCCGTGTTTGCCAGAAGCTAGGCTGGGGCCTGACTCTAGCCTGGGGAAACCGTGCCGCATGTGTCCATTTATTCACCCATCCATCCATCAACCATCCACCCGCCCGTTCGTCCACCCACCTGCCGACTTCACGTTTATTCAGGTGGACATGTATGCAGGTGCTGTCTTCATTCAGCAGTCTTTGAACCTGAATATGTACCTGGCCACGGTTGGGCTATTGGCCATCACAGCCGTGTACACGGTCGCAGGTATGACTGAATAAGGGGTGACTCTGGGGGAGGTGGTGGGCAGGGGCTGACCGCCCTTCTGGTGTTCCAGGGTGTTAAGGTCATTCACCTATTAAACCTCACGCCCTCGGCCCAGATAACGATTCCTCTTGGCTGCTGTTCTGAGGCCGAGGGCTGCCCAGTTAGACGCAGGACTTACAAACGCACCACGGTGCGTCAAGCCGTTTTCCATTTATTTATTCGAGACCTACGTATTGAGGACCTATTTATTGAGGCCCTGTACAAAGCTGGATTATAAACTTCTCCAACTCTGGAGACTGGGAAGGGCAGCCTCGTATCTGCCCCCGGACTACAACCCTGGGCAGTGGCTGGCACACAGTAGGGCCTTGACAAGCATGGGGTTTGGACCAACTCTAACAATGGCAGAGGCCCCGCGGCCAGAGAAGCCATGTGCCCAGAGCCCAGGGAAAGGGAAGGGCTGGTCACAGCTGCCACTTACCTTCGTGTTTCCATGTGTGGGGTCTCTGTCCCCCATTAGACTGTAGGCTCTGTGACAACGCGGAACATGCCGTTTTGTTTGCCTCCGCGTCCTGGCCACGTAGAACTGGCTGTCACACTCACCAGACGTGTGGCGAATGATTGACTAAACCACGAAACGCAGTGCCTGCCCGCGCTGTGTCAGCGTGGTGACGATGGCGGGCCGCAGTGCCGCCGGACCTCAGGGGCTCGGCCCTCCCGGGCTCGCTAAGCGCCCGAGGGGACAGCAGAGAGTTGGGGCCAGAGTCTAGGCCAGGCGTCCCCACTCGGAACGGGCCCACTCCTGCCACAAGGGAGGAGGAATCATAAGAGATCATGACACTTGTGGGCACGGCTTGCACCGCACGGCGACCGTGCCCGCTAGTGAGCGTGGTCACGGCAGGCGAGCGTCTCCTCCCCTTAGAGAAGACACTGGAAAGATCGCTCTGTCCAGGATTCATGAGAAAGACTTTTCTAGGTGGCAAAACCAGCAGGGATCCCCCGAGGCTCCTCGCCACGACCCTGTTCGGGCAGCCCCTGACGGCTCTCGGGACCTGGGACTCGTGTCTGCCCCAGCGTTAAAAATAAAGGTGTTCAGAGCTTGGGGACAGTGGCCCCAGCATCACTTCCTGTGTCACTTAGAAATTTCTGCATAACAAACTGACCACAAATCTTGGGACTCGGAACAACGGTGGCGAGTCGTTTCCACGGTTCATTCCGTCCTGCTGGCCTCGCCTGGCTCCGTGGGATGGCGCCGGCCACGTCTAGCTGGAGCAGGATGGCCTCGCTCCCGGGCTGGGGGCCGCTTGGGCTGCTAGCTGGGCTTCCCCTCCGCGTGGGCCATCGTCCCCCTCACAAGAGCGGGAGCAGGGGTGCAGGGGCCCGGGGAGGCCCACGGCCTCCCTGCTCCGGGTCAGAGCCAGCAACGCGGCCCTGCGAAGCGGCACCACGCAGGAAGCAGACACCGTGGCCGTCTTCGCGAGCCATCCACGCTGAGAAATATCCCCGCAGGTCCCCTCTGTGATCCAGACGAGCTCCTTCCTGTCCACCTGAGCCCCCGACCCTCATCTCCACCCCTCCTTTCCCAGGTGGCGAGGCCCACGGCCTCCCCGCTCCAGGTCAGAGCCAGCAACGCGGCCCTGCGAAGCGGTGCCACGCAGGAAGCAGACACCGTGGCCGTCTTCACGAGCCATCCACGCTGAGAAATATCCCCTCGGGTCCCCTCTGTGATCCAGACGAGCTCCTTCCTGTCCACCTGAGCCCCCGACCCTCATCTCCACCCCTCCTTTCCCAGGTGGCCTGGCCGCCGTGATCTACACGGACGCCTTGCAGACGGTGATCATGCTTGTTGGAGCTCTCACCCTGATGGGCTACAGTAAGTGGGGTCCTAGGCCGCGTGGGTGGGTGACAGCCACTCCCTCAAGCGGGGTCACCACTGGCGTCAGCACGCCCTGCTGTCCAAAGCACCCTCCCTGAGCACGAGTATTTTAGCTAGAAGAGAACTGTGCTTATTGTGGGAACGTACTGTTTTGGTTTTTTTTTAAGTGAAAATCAGTAGCTCTTCCTGTAGTGATGTGTATAAATGATTACATAAATAAATAAAAGGAGGAACGTATTTTTTCCATCATTTTGCTCTTAACCTATGTCTTTATGTTTAGAGCAGGTTTCTTGTAGACGTCATCTAGGTGGGTCTTGATTTTTTTTAAAAAAAGCTAATCCGATCATCTATCTTTTAATTTGTGTCTTTAGGTCTTACCCAAGTGTTAATACCAACCCCCTAATCCATACAAAGCGGAATATAATCTAGTGAGAGCAACGTTTGGGGGGATCCCCTGGAACTGTTTCTATTAATGAAAAGGAGCAGAGTCTCTGCAAACGACGGCCCTTTATTGCTTTCTGGCGTGGCGCGGACCGTGCCAGATGCCATGCACGTCCTGCGCGATGTCACACCGAGACCTGGCCCCACCCTGGGAGGCTGGTACTCCCCCGCTGGCAGCTAGGGACACCCAGTCTTAGAGAGGGGAGCAACCTGCTCCAAGCCGTAAATTACAGGGCCACCCGCCCTTCCGATTCGGTGAGCTGAGGGCGCCCGAGCAGGTCGGAGGTGAAAGGCCGCTTCTCTAAGGCAGGGTCTTAGGCTGGGGCCGATGGGCAGAGTTCAGGGGGGACTGTGAATCTCGGATGGCAAAGAGAAATCCACCTCGATCTTCACGAATCTGCCATTGAAATGCAGCATTTTTCAACGGTAAATGTAGGTGGCAGACCACAGGGGTATCAGCCATACCTGTGACTCCGACACCGAAAGGTGCCCCAGATGTTTGTCCAGGGGTTTTCACAGCGGCTGCCGATGCAGCGAACCGTCTGTGCTCGGGGCGACTTTGAGACTGAATTGTTACTAGACTTAGTGCTTCACGGAGCGACCAGCCAGCGCGCCAGGCCGCAGCCAGCAGGTTTAGACGGCTGCCTGCCATGTATTCGGTTGCTCTGCAATCTTGCGTGCTTTGGGTTATGCGTTTAGAGACGCGATCCTGAGAAGCAATGCGCACTCGCTCACGGGCCTCGGTCCCTGTGCTCGAACGGCCCCGTCACTGCGGGGACCGGGCGGAGCCCCGGGCAGAGCGCAGCTGCCTTCCCCTGCAGGCTTTGTGGCCGTGGGCGGGTTGGACGGCCTGATGGAGAAGTACTTCTTGGCGGTGGCCGCCAACCAGACCGAGGACAAAAGCTGCGGACTGCCCCGAGAAGACGCCTTCCACATCTTCCGGGACCCAGTGAACTCCGACCTCCCGTGGCCCGGGGTCCTGTTCGGAATGCCCATCCCATCCCTCTGGTACTGGTGCACCGATCAGGTACGAGCCATGGGCTGGGCTGCGCCCTCTGGGCCCGGCTTCCCCGGGTGGCCGTGGGGGACCCACTCGAGCCCCCCACGTGGCTGCCCCCAGCTGTCCCGACGATGCCTTCCCCTCTACTGCTCTGGGGTTCAGCATCTTACCTCTCCCTCTGCCCTCGTCATGGCCAAGCTTGATGCCTCCTGCCGCAGTCCGGGACCACCCGGGGGGCGAAAGGGACGGGGACTTTGCTCACCAGCACTGGCGGGGTGGCGTGTATGCAGCAGGTGCTTGAAGGTCAGAGTAAACAAATTGGGGTGCTGTGGGGAGCTCTCAGAGCTCATCCTGCTCAAGGGTGGGTCGACGGAGACAATAAGTGAGCAAATTACGTGGAAAGCGAAAAGGCGGTCGATGGCATTTAAGAAAAAGGCAGAGTGTGGGGGAGAAGGGGATTGAGTGTGGGGTGCAGTTTGGAGTAGGGTGGTGAGGGGAGGTGTGACAGGAAGTGCCTTCAAGCACGGGCTCTGTGTGACTTGGGGGCCGGAGGGTTTGCGGCCGCAGGGATAGCCTGAGCACAGGCCCTCAGGCTCACGCGCGACAGGTGTGAGGGCAGGTGTGAGGGCAGGTGTGAGGGCAGGAGGCACAGCAGCGTGCGCAGTGACCCGCCGTGTTGAGAGACAGAGACCACGCACGCGCTGGGACGACCCGGGTGGGGCGCAGGCACCGTGGGCGGGCGCACGGGGTGCAGGAGAACCGGCTCCCCGCACGCCTTATTCTGCCTCGGGTCTCAAACCCAGTACCGACATCACCAGTGGAGATTTTTGTGTCGCATTAACAATGTGACAGGGATCCGTGCGGCATTTTAGATGCTCTATCACGTGGTTAGGGCTGAGGAGAGCTGAGCTGAAGCCGTGAGCCTGGAGCCTGACCACTGAATGGACACGGGCCCCATGGGTGCAGCCCTGACACTGGCCCCGTAGGAGCCACATCCTTTCTCGTCCTTGGCAAATCTCGAGTGCAGAGCCCTCGGGAGAGGCACAGATGAGGCCGATGGCACCAGCTTTAAACCGAGCAGACCTGGCTTCCAGTTCAGGTGGCAGAACCGTGAGACGATTTAGCATCTGAGCCCATTTCCTGCCAGGCGGGGTCACTGACAGTTGCCGGTGCGGCGGGGGGGACGGGGGTGTGACGATGTTGGTCGCGGTCCTCTGGCTGCAGGAACAATTAACGAATACACCATTACAAACACGTACATTTTCACGCAGTTTACGTGACCGGTAGCCCTGGACCCAGCTCACCAGCTGGGATCCCAGCGTGCACCCCGCAAGGCCACCTCCAGCTCTCCTGTGTTCAAGAACCTAGGACTTGGTCCAAGGGCTTGACCTTCTTCCAAATGCCAGGCAGGGCGACAGGGCCCAGAAACCCCAGCCCCCCCAGGAGCCCCCTGACTTTGGTCTTGACCCCAGGCTGCTGCTGCTGAGCTGGATTCTGTGGCCTCCGGAGATGGCCGGCAGGCTCTGCCGGCGCTTTCCGGGGACACGCGCGTCCCTGCCAGCCGTGCACTAGGCCTGTCCTAGAACGGGAGAAAGGCAAGATGACATTGCTGGCTGACAGGCCGCGATGCTGTCCGGGCAGAGGCGGAGCGTGAAGGGTTGTAACGGCGCACGCACGCTCATTGGTGCCGTGTGCCGGGCACGGACCTAATCGTCTTATTGGAGTCGCCGTTTGTCTTCATCCCTGTGAGCCTGGTGGTTGTCGTGCAGGGTGACACCCCGCCCCCCACACACAGGGCTTGTGGGTTTGTGAGAAGCCCGACCCTCAGCTTCCTCGGCTGCCTCTTAGATTCACACCCGGAGGCTGCGCTTCAAGGAGTAAGAGCCGGGGTTCGTTTCCGGGTCTCCAGAAGGGGCGGGGTCCCCAGGGCCGTAAACTCTGTCCTCCTTGCTTCCCGGAGGACCGGCTGGGCCTCCCGCCCCTCACGGCCCCTTATGGAAACAGCGTCCTAGACTCTGATTGCCTCACGAGTCACTCCCACGTCCTTAGGTGCCCTAGAAAGCCTCCCTAGATGTTGGTTTGGAGCTCTGAGAAGTGACGGGTGGCAGTCAACCCGGGCCTCACCCAGGACAGCTCGCCCCCCAGCTCTGGACAGAGGGGCCCCCACCCTCCCTCAGATAAGCCAGCCACCCGCACCACCCAGACAGCTGCAATCTGTGTTCGTAGGGGACACGCGGTTGCGAGTGACAGAAATCGGCCGTAAAGCCGCTCAGGAGAAGGCGGGGGACTCCTAGCGCAGGGTCCCAGCCGCAGGACGCCGAGGCCTGCAGGAGTCCGGGACGCTTTCCCGTCTGGCTGGCCGTCGCCTCTGTCTCTCACCTTGGCCTCGTTTAACTGCAGCCCAGCTGGGAAGAGCCTGACCACTCCCTCAGTCCCGAGTCCGAAAACCCGGCCCAGCTCGGGTCAGGGGTCGACTCCAGGTGAAGCCACTCTGCCCAAGATGTGCAGAGGGGTGGGTTTCAAAAGAAGGGGCAGGGCACGCTGGGGGTACCCCACGCACGCCCACTGTTTAAAAGCTGGGACGCGTTCCGGCTTGGGCCTGCTCATCACCATGGTAACGGTGCCGCTGTTTTCCAACTGAGATGTTCCTTATCAAGTGCCCTGACCGCTGTCCCTTTTGGGGTCTGACGGTGTGGGGAACAGGCCCCTCGGTGTGGGTGGCCAGCTCGGGACCCACCTCTCTCAGCTCCGACTGGCCGAAGGCGCTGTGTCTGTCTGCTGGGCACAGGCGCCTGTCCTGGAAACGCGTCCACAAGGCGAAGTCTGTGCCCCTGTCACTGAGATTGCACACTCCACATCGTCCTCGACCGTTTCGATGTCTCTGGCAACCGTGAGGCCAGGCCCAGGGCCCCGGACGCTGGAGATGGAGCGGCCCCAAGTGCAAGGTCACTCCCTAGCAGGCGCGCGCTTGTACCGTGGAGCCTAAACAGAGGTCACAGGTGTGGCGTGGGCTTGGTGGCCAATCGTGACAGGTTTCTCTTTAAGGGCTCTTTGCCGATTTACTGAGGACTCTTCGTTATTTGTAGGGGAGAAAAGCAGTTTACGCGGGAAAGCATGTTCTCTTTGTCGCCTGACTGGGGGCCAGCAGGGGATAGGGGCGGTGACAGCAAATCATTCCTGGGCGGTTTCCGTGTGTCAGACGCTCAATATTCCCAGTGCTTTCACGTCCTGTAACTGTCGAAGCGGCCCTAGCATCCTCCCGTTTCGCAGGTCGGAGAGGTAAACCTGGGTGCCCAGCAGGGCGGGGGGTAGGCCTGGGACGCGGGCTGCCAGTCTCCGGAGCTGGCACTGCCAACCGCCATGGACTTCGGAGCCACCGCAAAGGGACCACAGGGACCGCAACCAGGAAAGGGACACGTCCGCACAAGGAGGCCAGGCCCACGAGGCTGAGCCCGCGGCGCCCGCTGAGGGCCTGTGCACTTAGTCTGCCCGCTGCCGGGCACCACTGTCTTCCAGGTCATTGTCCAGCGGAGCCTGGCCGCCAAGAGCCTGTCCCACGCCAAGGCGGGCTCTCTGCTGGCGGCCTACCTGAAGGTGCTGCCGCTCTTCATGATGGTGTTCCCTGGGATGGTCAGCCGCGTGCTTTTCCCAGGTGAGGGCGGGTTCTTGGCGCGCTACGTGCAATGGCTCTAAGGGAGCGTGGCGGGGGGCCCTTCCCGGTGACCCCCGAGGTCGGCCCCCTGAAGTGTCATGCTGAGAATTTCTCCCATGCTCTGGTGTTTGAAGCCGGTGGTTTGGTGACTTTGGGCCAAAGGGACTCTTCTGTTCTTAACAAAAACCAGGGCTAGTCAAGCGTCTAGAGAATTTGCTTTAGCTTTAAAAACAGAACAGAAAAACTGTGGCGAGGGGAGGCAGGCCACCGGGGGATTGGGCAGGGCTGGGGGCGGGGCTGTCACTGCGAGTCAGGGGGCGTCAGGGAGGGTGCCCCTTGCTTGCCCTCTGCCCCAGGGACTGTTCTCCCGCGGCCGCCGAGGCTGTCCTGAGGGGCGTGCCAGCAGAAGGCTGCCTGCCTTGTATCTTACCCCGTGCCATGTCACACAGAGATGGAGGGCGGGCAGCACGAAGCGCTAAGCCAGGCGGCCCAGGCGTTTTGCCTAAATAATTCAGGACAACGAGAATTCAGAAGGAAGGGGTCAGGAAGGGCAGCGGGGGAGCTGTCCGTGGTGCTGGACTCTGAGGTCAGCGGGCCTCCAGCCACCTGGGTAGGATGAGGGACCCAGAGCCACTGGCCCCACGCCCAGGGGAGGGCACAGGCTTGGAAAAGCCCAGGTGACAGTAAGAGCTGGTTTCTGGGGTTCGTGGTGACTCCGGTGGCTCCCGGCAAGGCCTGGCATACGAACAAGGAACGCGGCTGAGAGCGACCAGCGCTCACTGTGCCAGGGGCCGGTCCCCGGGGCGAGTCGGACGGGCGTGTGTGCTGCTCTCCGCTCTCTCTGGGCCCGAACCGTGGCTCTGCCGCCCACGAGCCGCGTGACCTCACTCTCTCTTCGCCTCCATCTTTGCAACTTGGCTGAGCCGACCGAGTTCTCTGTGACAAACACGACTTTCTGCCTCGAACGCTTTGTCGGCGCTATGTCTCCTGCCTTTCGTGGTGGGAGCCTGCGTTCCTGAATAAGAACTGGCAGCTGGCGACAGGCTGCAGGAGACCCTTGCTGCTCTTCGGGGACCTCGAGGACAGGGGCTTTTGGACAAGGGACAGAGCCCGTCCCGTCCATGTGAACATAAACAAGCCCTTTGCCCACCTGGGAGGCTCCCCAGCATCCTGGCCGTGGGACTGAGAACTTTCTCATCTCTCAAACGTCCTCGGCGGAGTCGTGAAAAGCCAGGACCTCTGAGCTTGCAAGAGGATTTTTTCAGCCTCGCTGTTTCTTCTCTGTAGTCTGGTCCCGGAGACCCGGGCCCAGGTCTGCTTCCGCCGTGGCCGCCCCTCTGGGGACTTCCCGCTGGACTGCAGAGTCCACGGGGGTGGGGGAGGGGTGCACGACACATCTGCCACGCGGCCGGCGATGGCATTCTCTGCACCTCCAAGGGCTGCGTGTGTCCCTTTGGGGGATCGGGGGCGACGCCTGATGCTGGACGTGGTGCTCAGACCTCGGCGAGGTATCCTGGCTGCGTTTGGGGTCCAGTCTCAGTGGGTGACGTGCCCTTGGCACTCCCATGTATCAGGCTCTGTGCTGCTCTCTGGACATGACCCCTGGACGTGACCCTAGTCCACCCTTACTAGAATCCCAGGTGGCTGCCTCAATGTCACTGGTCGGAAACGGGACTTCAGAGGGCGGGTGAGACGTCAAGGTTTGTAATGTCTGGGCTCCCTTATGTCAGGAGCCGCGGGGTTACCTCCTGGCTGGCCTGTCCCCACCTGCTCACGGCCGGCATTTTCCCCCCAGACCAGGTGGCCTGCATAGTCCCGGAGATCTGCCAGGAGGTCTGCAGCAACCCGACCGGCTGCTCCAACATCGCGTACCCCAAACTCGTGCTGGAAATCCTGCCCACGGGTAACATCCCCGCCCCAGAACAGAGCCCTGGGAAGGGGGGCGCTGGCTGAGCCGTGTCCGGGGGGAGGCCACGGGCTCTGGGGGAGGGGCTGAGCCCCAGAGCTGTCGGGGTGCTGGCCCAGCCCCGCTTCCTCCGAGTCAGGCCCTGGGGCGAAGGCGGGGGAGGCTGAAGCCCAGGTCCCCTCTGTCCCCAGGGCTCCGTGGCCTCATGATCGCCGTGATGATGGCCGCGCTCATGTCCTCGCTCACGTCCATCTTCAACAGCTCCAGCACCATCTTCACCATGGACCTATGGAAGCACGTCCGGCCGCGGGCCTCTGAGCAGGAGCTGATGATTGTGGGGCGGTAAGGCTCCCGGGGGCGCCAGGGTGGGGGCGGGGCTCGCTCTCATGCCAGGGGGAGGGGCTGAGCCACTGAGGCCACGCCCCTCTGATGGCAGATGAGTCGCTCCGTCGTTCAGATGCTCGGTGAACACCTACTGTGTGCCGGGCACTGAAAAGGACATGCTCGGGTGTGCCCTCGTGGGGCTCAAGAAGGATTAGCACCCCCAAAAGTGCCATGGTGGGGGAGTAGAGACCTGGGGCCTGCGGGCTGTCCCCAGCCTAGACCAGCACCAGACGGTGAATAGGAGTCAGCCAGGCAAAGCGTGGGGTGCAGTGTCTGCAAGGCCCTCGCATCTGGCAGGGACCAGGAGGGATCGGAACGGGCGACGTGGCTTTTATGCAAAACACGTGCTGAGAAGCACGGTGACGGCTACGTCAGCCTTGGGTCACAGAACCGTGCTCAGCACGACATCTAATACGTGAACTGTGACAGAGTCGAACCGAAAACTCGTTCACGTCAAAAGCCACCACGGAAAACGAGGGGACAGGACACAGTTTGGGAGGGAACATCCACGAACCGTCATGCGATAAAGGACTTGTAGGACCACCTGGGAAACAGGACCGTCACCTGGGAATTCGCAGCGAGAGGCTACCACACCCCCGCCAGGGCGGCCGCCATCAAAATGGCCCACGGCGGGAGGAGGGTCTGGAACCCTCACGCCACGCTGGGAAGGCAAACGGCTCAAAGGCTCCGAGCGGCCTGGCAGGTCCTTAAAGAGTGACACGTAAACCCGCCACGTGGCCCTGGGACTGCGACCCTGAACACGTGTGTCGGTGCCAGGGCGGGGCGCGGGTGCTCGCAGTGGCCGGACGGGAGCGAGGGTGCAGCTCTTGGCAACGGTGAAGGCGTGAGATGTTGAGATGCGGTGCAGGCAGGCACCGCAGACACGCTGAGTGACAGGAGCCGGCTGCCCAAGGCCGTGCACCGCGTCCAGAAGGGTGAACCTACAGACGCGAGCAGACTTGGGCTCGTGGGGGCAGGGACGAGGACGGACTCCCCGTGGGCACGGGGGACTTGCTGGGGTGATGGGCAGTCTGCACTTGCCTGCGGTGACGGCTGCACCACTACAGACGGTCGCCAAAGTTCCTGGGCTGTGCCTTCAGGACGAGCGAGTCTTAGGGCAGGTCCACCCCGCCCCAGTGAAGCCACTGAGAAGAGAGCCGAGGGCGGACGGCAGTGACGCTGGTCTCTCCCTGCCGGGCGCCAGGGTGTTCGTGCTGCTCCTGGTGCTGGTGTCCATCCTGTGGATCCCCGTGATCCAGGCCAGCCAGAGCGGCCAACTCTTCATCTACATCCAGGCCATCAGCTCCTACCTGCAGCCGCCCGTGGCCGTGGTCTTCATCATGGGGTGCTTCTGGAAGCGGACCAACGAAAAGGTAGCGTGGCCGCCCCAGGACAGGAGAGGAGGTGGCTGCAGAGGGAAGCCAAGGACGTCTTGCCTTGGGTGTCGCTGGGGCGGTGCGGTCGGGGGAGGGTGCTGCCCGGCCTTTGGGCAAAAAGCAACAGGGCTTTTATTTTGATGCCTTTTGTCGCGGAATGAGAAGTGAGTCGATTATAGGTAATCGAGTAAGCGGATGTGCGAGATAAACAGAGAGGCGGCTCCAACCCTTCTAGAATCGCTGACCCCGGCGGGGACCGTCCCTGGGAAGACGAGCTCTTCGCGAGGGTTTGCTGAGGTCCCGGAGGCCTGGGCCGGCCACCCCATGGCCCCGGTGTCCCTCTGACGGCCTGCTCCGGCTTGCAGGGTGCCTTCGCGGGTCTGGTCCTGGGCCTCCTCCTGGGTGTGATTCGGATGATCCTGGACTTTGCCTACACGGAGCCGCAGTGCGGCCAGCCAGACAACCGCCCTGCCGTGGTGAAGGACATCCACTACCTCTACTTCGCCATGATTCTGTCCGCGGTCACCCTGACCACCCTGTGTGCCGTGAGCTGGTTCACAGAGCCACCCTCCGAGGAGATGGTACGTTTGGATTGGATGCCAGACCCACTGAGACCCTCGGCTTCGAGTGGCAGAAAAAGGACCCAGATGGGCTTGAGTGAAGAGGGTGGGCTGCTCCCAAAGCTGAAGTCCCGGTCGGCTGTCACAGACAGCTTGATTTCAGGACGCGGAAAGCCCCATCCGCACCCGCCCCTCACCCCTCTGCTCTGCTCGGGCCCCACGCAGGGCCGGCGGCTTCTGGGGACTTATCCTCATCAAGCACGAAAAAAGCACAGACATTTTTCCCAGCATTTCCAGCCAAGTCCCCGATTCCCACTGATGAAGTCAGCTCAAGACACACACTCACCCATGAACCAGTCTGGTCCCCGTGGCCAGAGAGCCGGATGAGCTGGGTGGCTGACTGCTGGGCCGCACACTTCCGCAGGGCTAGGATTGAGCCCTGGGGGCTGGGCCGGGGAGGGGGAGGCCCCAATGTGGGTGTTAGGGTCGGGGGTGTGGGCGGGGGAAGCGCTCACTGATTCTGAAGCTTGTGGAAGGCAGCAAGCTTGCGGCAGACAGGGACGGGAAGGCTGAGCCTGGGCTGGGCAGGGGATGAGGAGGGGAGGGCCACTGACCTCACCAGCTGTCTCTGCCCCCAGGTCAGTCGCCTGACCTGGTTCACTCGTCATGACCCCGTGGTCCGGAAGGAGCCTCCAGCAGCCCCCCTGCCCCCTGCCCTCTCTCAGAACGAGGCCAGTGGCGACACCAACACCCAGCTGGAGGGTGTTGAGGAAAACGCAGACAAAACGCCCCAAGGTGAGCCGCCTCTCCCCTTGGTGACAGTGGTGACAGCGGTGACATGCATGTTTAAGGGCAATTTCTTCTATCGGATCACAAGCAGAGCGGGGCAGATGTGGGTGGGATTCTGGCACCCCTGACCCCAGAGTCCACGGGGAGTGGCTCCTCCCACAACAATGGTGGCAGACACTCGAGTGCTCGCTGAACCCCACGGGCCGGGCGGATGGCTGGCAGGTTTAGGGTTGGCCCAGTTGCCATTTAATGAAAGGTGAGTTAGGGGTTCTCAAACGGGGCGATTTCACACCGAGTCCCTGACGGCCATCTCCTCTGAGAAAATGGGGAGAGCTGGCAACTGCGCGCCCCTGTCTCCACGGCCAACCTCGTCTGGCGTCCCTTAAGCCTTCAGTGGCCAAAGTCCCCACCAGCCCCTATTGTCTCCGTGACCCCGAGGCTATAGTTGTCAATTATCACACATGACCTTTCTAAAAAAAAAAAATAGTTGTGGCTGTGAACCTATGTCAATCTCAAGCGGGGCCTCAAGGGTACAGCCCAAAGGCCACGTGCTTCCAGACCAGAGAGAGGGCGTGAGGGACGCGGTGACACGGCAAACGGAGTGGCTCCCCGAGGCCGGCCCCCTCCCTGCCCGGCTCCGTGGGCAGTGGGACCTGAGAATGATGACGAGCCCCAATGCCAACCTCCCAGCACCAAGGGGTTCGCGCCCCTTCCGGGAGAGACGCAGCAAGTGCTTCTCCCAGAGCGTGAAGCGCGGGGCTCCGGCCCTTTGCCTCTCGTCGCTGGGGACATGGCCCGTCCCGTGACCTTGCCTGGGGCCCTCTGCAGGCGCTGAGAGCCCGAGACGATCCCGCGTGGTGACAGCCATCCTGTGGCTCTGCGGGATGGGGGGCTCGGGCTCGGACTCGGGCCCAGCGGAGCCGGCGAGCAAAGAGGACGTTGTCCTGGTGTCCCTGGAGGAGAAGCCCCTGGTGCGAACATTCCTGAACCTCAACCTCGTCGTCTGCGCCTGCTGTGCCATCTTCCTCTGGGGCTACTTCGCCTAGCGAGGCCGAGCCCGGGGGTCCGAGCGCCGGTGACCGTGCCCCGTCGAATGAAGGGAAAAATAAACACGGCTTTGTTTACCACGAGGCTGACAGCGTGTTTCTGGGCCGTGTCCGACGTGACGACTAGCCTTGTCCTCTCACGTGGGATCGGAGGCCAGGGGCTGCGGGAGGCCGAGAACAGTGACAGCTCCCGTCCCCCACGGGGGCCGACACAGGCCCTTTCCCACACGCCTCTGCCGGCCAAGGTCACAGCATCCTCACACCTCCCACACTGCCTGGGCCAGCACAGCGGCACACAGTGGGCCCGCGAGCATGGTCATGGTCACGAGCAGCCAACTCGTGCCTCTGCTCCTCCCCGATCCGAACCACGCCGCCTTCTTCTGGCTAACACCTCTTCTAGCCCCAGCTTAAGATCACTGCCTCCAGGAAGCCTTCTCAGATTGCCCCACCTCCATCATTACATGTGTCTACAAAGCAGGTCTCACACTTCCTCTCGATAGCTTAACTGTCTTCCTGTACGGAGCAGAATCCTAGGGGCAGGATACACCGCTCACGCTAGCGTGGTACCTGGCGAATAGATAAACAGACAACCCTAAAATGCACCTCGCCTAGCTCCTTATCACAGGTGCACACGCCCCGCTCCCCACCTGCGACCAAGGGCGCCCACTGTGCCCACGCCAGGTAAGCTCCTTGAGATCCATGCTTGTGGAGGGGCCTGAGCGTCCCCTGGCCTTGGGAGCTGTGTGACTCCAAGCCCTCCTGCCCACTCGGCCCCTAGGCTGCCCTGTGGCCAGCCCTCACCTTGAGGCAGGGTCCACATGATCGCCAGGCCATGCCGACGCTGCCTCCCGGCTGAGGAGGAGTCAAGTGTCCTGCCTCCGCCCCCGCCTGTGCCGCCACCTCCCGCAGACCTTCTGCCGCCAGCCTGGCCCCTTCCGGTCCATTTTCTGCTGTTTTCAATGCCCCATTTTTAACCCCCTCCTGAGCATGAGCTCGGGCGTGGGGGGCTCCCTGGAGAGGGGGCTCGGCACTGAAGGGCAGTGTTACGGACCCCTCTGCTTTCTCTGCAGCTCTGGGAGGCGGGGCAGGCCGAGGACAATCACACATGGAAAGTGAAAGGGAAAAGGGTGAGCCGAACAAATACGAATTTGCGACCTGGGGAAAATGGGGTGCATGGGGTGCAGGTGCACATTTTAAATGCAGTTAATAAGATCGGGAGCATTTTGGGGCCAGGGAACTTTGAGAAAACGGGATTCAAGTTAATCTGCCGTGGAGGCAGGTACAGGGTCTGCTGAGCAAGGCACAGGTCACTTGTGTCCAGCAAGTGACTCTATCAGTGGGACGGCTTAGGGCAGCCACATGGGTGGCCGGTCCCGCTCTGTTCCCAAGGCTGGACCACTGACTCTGGGCCGTGGGGAGAGTAGCCCAGTCTGCCCACCTCGCTTTGCTCTGGCCCCCCACCCTTCCCTAGTACCTCGGTCCTGAGAAGGGAGCGCCTGCTTCGGCTGGAACACAGAATGCCCGCGGGAAGTCATGGCTTCTGACACCCTGACGAGGCCGAGGCCCATGGGGCTGAGTCCGGGCCCCGAGTCTGAGTGTCTGCAGGTGGACAAGAAAGGCTGTCACGATGGGGAAGAGCAGAGGAAAGGCCTTATCCAGGGAGCAAGGGGACAAGGGGACAGGGAGGTCGACAGGGCACTTGGTGGCTGGCGCTGCTGCTGTGGCCCTCTCCACTTTTCTGCGTCTTCCGTCAGACCCGCAGGTGTCCCCTGGGCTGAGTGACCGCACACGCACGCACGCTAGCACAGTGTGCCTCCAGGAACGATGACATTTTCATATAAACCACAGAATATATTTAATTTGAATTAAACATGAAACTAAAATAATGTTCGGTCTGTATCAAGTAGCAATTACATTGTTCAAAAAAAAAAAAAAAAAAAGAACAGTACATTTCTACATTCCGGCAATCCAACAAGGCACGAGTCCCATCCAGTTTGCTGAGGTGACAGATCCAGCGGTCACCTGTGAGGACGCGGATGAGGATGCGGGTCCAGGTGGCCGGTGGCTGGCAGCTTGCATTAAATAGACGGAGGCCACGCTCGCTCACCCGAGCCGCTGTCCGTGCCGCCTGTGCACGGTGGCGACAGCTCCCCGTGCACCGCGCGCCTTGGCGGCAGCCCGTCCAACCTCGGCGTGCGTTTTTTTTGGTGTGATGGCTTCCCCAGGTAAAGAAAGCCGACTTCTCCACGACACGGGTCATTCGGCCTCAGGCGCCAGCCTCCACCGTCTCGTGGGTCACCCGCGGCCGGGCCTCCCCTTCCGGCCACTGACGGCTGCTCGGGATCTGGTGTGCAGAGACCGAGGTCGTCCTGACCGAGGACGCCGGGGTGGATGGGGGCGCGGCTGGGCGGCGGCTTCCTCACAGGGCGGTGCTCTCCGTGCCGTTGTCCGAGTCCAGCAGAAGGTGGCCAGGCAGGTCTCTGCTTGCCGCGTCTGGGTGCATTTCAGGAAAGACACTGCGGGGTGGCTCCGTCCCCTTAGGACTAGCGTCTGGGCAGAAACAGAGAGACGTGGGATCAATGCACGGTCACGCGTGAGGCCACCCGAGAGGGCAGAGGGGAGCGGGGGAGGGGAGCGGGGCGTCCAGGTCAGCCATGCACACACGTCCCCTGCCAGAGGCGCCGACAGCCCTCAGAAGTCCAGTCAAGCCTGAGCCGGTGGGGGCTCCCGCGGGGCAGAGCCCGCCCGCTGCCCTGCGGGTCCCGTGGGCCCGGGGCTGTCCCCGGAGGCTGACCCTCGCGGACACGCTCACGCCGACGGGGAAAGGAAACCGCTCCTGCCCCCGCCTCGGACGGCACCCGGCCGCAGGAAGAGGGGCTGCCTCGCTTCCCCTCAGCCCCGGCGCCCGTGACAGCGGGGCCCGGTCACTCGGGGCGCCGTGTCCTGTGCACAGCCGCGGTTAGCAGCCCCTGCCCTACACTCGCACGCCCTCTTCCCCACGAGGACGACCGAGGTGTCTCCGGACACCGCCGAAGGTCGCAGGGCGCAGCGACCCCTGCCGACGGTCACTGATGCGGATCGCCCAGTCCGCAAATGTCAGTCTCCCTGTCCATTCCAGCCTCGTCCTGCTGGGGAACTTCTCCAGCAATCGGCCAGCACGCGCCTGTGAGGCCCCGGCCCCCTCCCAGCCCCCTCGGGAACGAGCGCCCGCTGGGCACCTGCCACCCCGAGGTGCTGTCCCGGCTGTGCAGACACAGCCCCGATGGCGCCTGCGGGCCCATGGGGGACGGGCCCCCTCAGGACAGAGGGAGCTGCTCCTCCAGCAGGCGCGGGGCCCGGCGGGGGCCGAGAGCGCACTGTCAGAGGCTTCAGGGCTGGGCGAGAGCAGGGGGAACGAGGCGGCAGGCAGGGGTGCCGGGAGCCCCCGCTGTGCTCACGACCGCGTTTTGTCCTTGCGTGGGGCTGGCCAGCGCAGGCGCACTCTGGGGGACTCCCGCAGGGGCCTGGCCCTGCGCTCTGGGCAGCGAGATCCGTGTCCTTCCTGGGGTACCCCTTTCCTCGGGACGGCCCCTGGGACAGCAGACCCGCCCCTCAAGGGTTCCACGCCCACAACTCGGAGAAATGTCTACATCCGAGGGGGCGCCAAGGAGGCTTCCGGCGCTGAGCGCGGCCTCAGACGATGTGGGCCTCGCGATGGTCGTGCAACCGACCGAGCTACGCAGGATGCACGGCCGTTGGGGGGACGCACGGCCGTGGGGCAGGGGGGTGACGGCGGTCGGGGTG